TTGCTCTCCCCAAATGCACAGTTTCCTGGAATAAATGGGGTGGAGGGCACTTGGAGCAGCTCTCCAGAGGTGGTGTAGCCACATGGATGCTGAAGAACCACACAGTGTTTAGGGCTAAGAAGCCTAAATTGCTGAAGATAGCTTGTTGTATTTTGCTGGTGATGGCATCGGGTTGTTTTTTTTTGAGACGAGGCAGTTATACAGAGAGGGAATGCTAAAACAAGAGGTAGGATGTGCTCGTTCCTTGCTCTCCCACCCAGCCCATTTCCCCTGACAGCCTGTTAAAAAGTTTTGGATTGAAAGAGAAGTCTCCTATGCCACGTGAAGAGTTTGTAGGAGAGATACTCAGACATGGGGATTTTGGAGCTGTGGGGAAACGGGGTGCTTGGGCTCGTTTTCATTCCGAACTCGAGTGGAAATACGAAATGCCAGAGTTCCTCAGAACCTTAAATGTTAAGAAAAGCAATCAGGGCCGTGGGCAACCCTGAAAGGTGCATGATCGTCATAACCTGACCCAAGGATGCTGAAATGATCTTTACATCTTTTTTCCAGCTCACGTTTATTGGAGAACTACTTGCATTTCAGTAAGACTCCCTTTTGCAAAGACACCCCATTTCTTTTCTTCAGCCGGGCCAAGCTGGAGATTCCATCTACTGCAACCAGGCTCCCTTGTGGGAGCATTCATGAGGCTTTTGCATTTCTCCCTGGGAGAGGTTGCTGCTTTCAGCTCCCCCGAAACACCCACACTCCTCACCAGCACTCTGGGCTGTGCTTTGACAAGCAAACCCAGCATGGCTCGTTTTTGAAACCCCTGGCTTTCTCCCTCTCCATGGGCTTGGATTCCTCTCGCGATGGAGCATAGCAGGAGACCCTGGAGAGGTCCGTGTGCTCTGTTTTCCAATTGCAGCATGGGGAGAAAGGGGATCAGCTCTTTGCTGTGCCCTCGTGAAAGGCAAAGCTTTTTGTCAATAGATGGCGAAGAGTCGGGGCAGCGGTGGCGTTTTGTGAAGGTCCTCTACTCTTTTACTCTTTGTGCTGCCTTGCATGGTCTTCACAACCTTTTTTTTTTTTTTTTGGCGGTGTTTTCCTAGTCTTTTGAAACATAGGAAGAAATAGTCCATCTTCAGGTTTAGATGCTGCTTTGAATGCCTCCTAACACATCCCACTGGCCAAAATGCCGGTGGGTGCCAAGCTGGTTCGTGAAACATCTCCATGCTCATCGTGCCTTCGTTTGCTCGGCCCAGCAGCTCTGGCCAGTGTGGGCTGGATGAGTCTCAGGTGTCTCATCCCAAAGCTTTTCTTCTGGAGAGGAAGAAGGAAAAGCTCTGTTCCGTCTTTGCTGTGCTGGGCGGGAGCGAGGGACCTGTGGATTGTGGATGGCAAAAGGCAGGGGCTGGAGCTGGTGCTTGGGGTGGGGAAGTTTGGCTGGCACCAAGGAGGTGAAAAGCACTGTCCCACCCCAACTCTTCTCCACCCTAGTCACGGAATGAAGCCTTTGCTACAGGTGAAAACCCTGTGAGTTCAAGCTCAGGGCTCTTCTCTTGAATGTCCTCTCCTCTTTGGTGTGATTTAAGGATGGAGCTGGGGCGTTGTCCAGCCGGGACTGGGGGCAGTTCACTGTCACAAGGAGCTGAACATCTTTGGGAGATCCTGGAGCTGAGACAGTGGGAAGGAATTTTCTGCCTTAGGAAAACCATAAATCTTTAAATATCCTGTTTCTGCTGTGAGACGGACTTGGAAGTTCCCTGCCAGGCTCGCTGGGTGGTGGTGTCTCCCTCTGCGCCGGGTGAGTGCGTGTGTGCAGGTGTAAGCAAATGCCCCCAGACACAGCAAAACTCTAGACTTGCCTCTTTTGGAATATGTAAAAATACAGAAAAAAGTGAGGGCTCTTTCCAGCGTCCCCAGAAAGTGCCACAAGGCTGGACTCTCACCACAACTGAGCTCTTTCATCTCGGTGTTAGCGGAGCCGAGCATCCCTTTAGAGCTGATTTTGCCACTTGGAAGCTGTGGGGCAACTTTTTTTGCACCGATTCTCCTTGGGTTTTGCCTGGTCTTACCCCTGCGATCGGCTGAGACGTTCGACTCGCCTTCACTAGAGGGCGCAGGAATTTTAGGCTAGAAACGCGCCGAGGTTTGTCGGGGAAAGTTGGCTGCCTTTTCCTCCCTTTTAATCAACTGGAAAGATGCAGGGTTGAACTGGAGGTGACTGGAAGGGGATCCAGACTTGTGTCTGGCTGGGGAAGGATCCGCTGACATCTAGGATTAGGCGGCGAGCGGACGGGAGGTTGCAGCGAGCCGGCAGCATGGCCGGGGCTCACGCCGTTGGCCAACCCCATGGCCGGGAGCTGCAGGCTCCCACAGATGTGGGGTGCAGCTGGCTGGGGCTGGAGGAGCCCGATAGCAAAAGGACAGCTGAAAACAGGGGAGAAAACACAAAGAGGAGAAAAAATCCATCCGCGGTCCCCCAATGCTAAATGCTCCCCCTTTTTCAGGCTGGGCAGGTGATGTGTTGACCTCTGTAGGGGCTCAGGCTTCTCTTTCTGAGGGTCCTCTCCTCTGTGCCTTCACTGAGCATCGGTCCTCAGGGCTAGCGCTCTCCTTTTCAGAGGCCGGCTTGGTTTGCAGAGTGTGAATCCAGCCCCAGGCTGGTTGTCTATACTGATGCAACAATCTTGCACAGCAGGACCAGAGGCGGTTTTTTTGGGATGCTGTAATTTTTGTGGGGTGCAGGGGATCTCTGAGCCCCTTGCCTGTGGGAGATACTGGGCAGAGCAGGGGGAGGATGGCATTTGCCCCAACTTGGGACCCACTCAAGGTGACTCCAGGCAAGACTGCAGCCTCAGCACCCCTTAGGCAGAGGCTGTCCCCTGCCCAGCTCTGCTTTCAGCTGGAGAAACTGAGTCACAAGAAGCACCTGGGGAGACCGGGGTGATTCACTGGGAGTCTGTCCTCATCCCAAATCCCCCAGCATGGTTGAAGGGCAGATGCCAGACATTGATGACCCTTTGCTGGCCTCACTCAGGAGGTCCTGTCCCAGCCCTGTGGAGCAGCTTGTGGCTGCCTGCTCTCCTCCAGCCAGCACCACGTCAAAGCCTGCTGTCCTGCTGCCACGGCCACCAGGCACCGGCCCTTTCCCCTCTCCCTTCTTAATTTCCCCAGGCAGCTGAGGGACTCGGCTTTAGCACCTCCAGCTTTGCTTTTCTGAGCAGCTGCTCTTCCAGCTCCTCAGGCGGTCGGGTCTGTCTGAGCATCGCTGCCCTTTCCAGGCTTTAAAAATAGCTCATGAAGCGCAGAGAGGCGGCAG